AGAGAAAAGTTTAAAACAAAATTCAAGTTTATTTTTCATTTTTGAGACAATTTCAATATGGAGCTTTTGTTATTCTATCTAGAACTTGCTATGTAGTTGAGGCCATGCTGAACTCACAGAGCTCTGCTTGTTTCTGCCTCTGGAGTGTTGGAATTAAAGGCATGTGCCACAACCACTAGCAAAATATTTACCTTTTATAAGGTTAATGGTGATTTTTCTCACAAATTATCCAGAGAACAACTGAAATATTTACATTAGTAGTGGCTCTCTTTCTGTTTTCTTTTCCTTTCTTTTACTGCTCAATTTCTTTCATCTCAGAATTCTTGAAGAGAATACTTTAGTTATACTCAAGGCCTTTTACTATACCAAAATGAGAATACAATTCAGTTTAATATATCTTAGTTGAACATTTTCAAGTCCCCATCTTAGTTATAGGTGTAGTTAAATGGCAGATGTCTTGTCTAACATAATAATGGCCCTGGTTCAATAACTCAAATCTATAAAAATATGAAAGATAAAAATCATATCTGACAAGTAATATAACATTAAGAGACCATCAAGCACTTAGTAAATGGAAAATATTAAATTGTTATATCAAATAGCTACTTTATGGTAATCTCGGATACACTGATGGTGCTCTTAGTAAAGAAGTTTAACAATTAACAGACCTTGAGCAAGTTGCCTTTATCTTTGAACAGGAGGTCTTTCGTGGTATCTCAGACTGAAAATTTCTAAGAAACACATCTTGCACTGAAAGAAAATATAGCATACTCATAAAAAGCTAGGAGTGGACAAATTGATTATCACTATGTAGATACACTGAGGGGCATTTATTTTTAGAGGGACAGTATATTCTGCGAACTATGTGGGCATTTAGCATTTCTTTTAAGTACTATTAACCAAACTTTTAAAACTTATTAATGTCTCTTTGTTGTGAAATATTAATTGAAGATGTGTTACATTTGTTTTTGCTGTGGAACACTTGTTTAATAATGCAAATATGTGTTACATTCTTTTATGTTGTACTTGTTTTACTCTGTGAAGCTGTGTTACTTTGCCTGCCCAAAACACCTGATTGGTATAATAGAGAGCTGAATGGCCAATAGCTAGGCAGGAGAGAGGATAAGTCGGGCTGGCAGGCAGAGAGAATAAGTACAAGGAGAAATCTGGGAAGAGGATCAAGGAGAGAGAAAAGGATTAGAGGAGGAGTTCAGGGGCCAACCACTCAGCTACACAGCAAGTCACAGAGTAAGAAGAAAGGTATATACAACAGGGAAATATAAAAGCTCAGAGGTGAAAGGTAAATGAAATAATTTAGGAAAAGCTGTCTACAAACAAGCCAAGGTAAGAGTGGACATTCACACAACTCAGAATAAGTCTCCTTACATGAATTTTATTTGGGAACTGAGTTGTAGGTCTCCCAAAGAGCTAAAAGAGTAAAAAAAAACAAAATAAAGCAAAAAATAACATTTTGGAATGCCAACATGAGGTTTCAATATCTCTAGGGCCTGAGAAATCTGGGGAAAATCAAACACATAATGCTACTTTAAGAAACTCTGCCTTAAAACAGAACACTTAAACAGTCTTTCACATGCTATACAGGAACCAAAGAAAACTAAGTTTAAAAAAATGCTGCCTGCCACAGTGCTGGGCAATGGAATTCCATAGCTGGGGGTGTTGCATGCAGTTCCTGGCCAAAGGCACCTCTGAGCAGGCTGAGAACTTTAGGCTTGGCTTTCACAGGTTCAGAAGTGAGCAGAGCTAACCTCTAAAGCTATGCTGAGGTTCTAGTCATGCTGCTTATCAGCTTAAATTCTCATGGACTAAAAAAACAAGACTAGATATATACAGTAAGAAAGATCCAGACGGAAAAAACTCTAAACAGGTTATAATGTTTTTAACAATGTGCATAGGCCTAAAAAATAAAATGGATAAAGACAGTCTTAACGAGTTTAAAATAATAAAGTCTTTAAAGAAAGAAGTAAAATAATATAAAAAGAACAAGCTACATAGAGATGGGAAATACTCAGGGAGTCTGAATCCTGTGTGTTACTGTGCTGATTTTGAATTTTTTGACTGATGATAAGCAAAGGGCAGCTGCTAAAAGACCTGGAATTGAAAGAAGACTATTGAAATAAACTGGCCTGAATACTTTAGGGATGCCTTAACTTTAAGATGGAAGTAAACAATGTATTTGTAAAGTAGAACTTAAAAGATATATTGCATTGGAGAAGAGGTTTTGTTTTTGTTCTCACAAGAAACAAAAGATTGTGGATTCCTTAAGGATTGATGTGGATCACATTTGATTAGGAGAGAGAGGTTATAACTGGTCTTCCAAGGACTTAGTTATTATCTCAAATTTTCAGGGACTCCTAAAGATGCCTTCTCACAAAGACGACTGGAAGCAGTCTAGAACACAATGCCCACATTCCCAAGAGATGGGGTGGGTGGTCGTTGGTTATTTGATGGGTTATGGATGTTTGTTACCATTTAAGGGAATACAGCAATATAGGATAAAAAAACAACTATTAATCTCAGATATTTTGCTTTGGCATGGAATTTTGAATATTTATATAAATTTAGTTATTGTGTTATACTATATATGTTTTTACTCTGGTTTGGGGTATTGGGCTTATGCAGCTCATTTAAAATGCAATGTATAATTAAGAGATGAAGTTAGTAGTTAATATATAATAATTAAACTTGTAGTCATATTAGGTATGTTTTCAAGGTTAAACAGCTATATTTTAGACAGCTGATCTTCAAACACTTAAAAAAACCTTATAAAATAGGTCTTTAACAAAGTTTTCTAAACCTAAGGTTTTTCATGTCAATGAAAACACATCTGCTCATGGCAGCACCAATTTACTTCATAAAAGGATGATGAACATCAAATATAATCCATATGAAGTTTGCTTTCAATGGAGGTAAAACTAGACATTTGAGCAAGAAACTGCTCTTGCCTGGACTGCTTGACAGTATGCTGCACAGAATGCACATTCAGGACCCATAGGAAAGTGACTGGTGAACTTTGCCAGTCCTTCAAAATTTATGCTTCATAGAATAGAAGAGTTTGTCTAATATTCTAGGCCGGTAGGCTGAAGATGACTGCCCCAATATTGCAGAGGAACTTTGCTTGACTGTCCAGGCAGCCAAATGTCTCTGTTGTTAGGTAATATTATATCCTTCTGTGGTCTTTGATGGAGTTGAAGACTAGATAGTTATAACTGCAGTTTTCCTTAGTTATGACACAAAGTAAATTAGGTATAAAACTTTGAATTTATGAAGATAGATAATGGATTATTTTCTATGAATTTGCTAAATACAAATGAACTGAACATTGTAAATGTAATTCTTACTTGATAAGTGTTTTTGTTGTATATAGTTTTAGTATGTTAAAGTTAAAACCTTTCATGTTAATTTAAACAAAGAGGGAGAATGTGGAATATTAGTTGAAGATGTGTTACATTCATTTATGTTATGGATATTTGTTTAGTGATGCAAAGATGTGTTGCACTCTTTTATATTGCTGTTGTTTAACTCTGTGAAGTTGTGTTACTTTTCCTGCCCAAAATGCGTGATTGGCTAAATAAAGAGCTGAACAACCAAAAGCTAGGCAGGAGAAATGATAGGTGGGGCTGGCAGTCAGAGAGAATAAATACAACGAGAAATCTGAGAAGATTGAGGAGTGAGGGGTAGGGAGGAGGTCTCCAGTCTGTCTAGCTTTAGTTCACTGTATGAAAGTACTGTATTTTTCACTGTTATTAATCATTTTGCACTTCAAACATTCTGCTGTAAATAAAAATGGCTGACTCTGAATAGTTTAAAAGCAGTTCTTGCAAGTCATTCAAATCTGTCATTAGATATGAATTGTATTAATTCTGCTTTTATAATCTAACTTTTAGGTAACTTATTAAGGACATTAGTCATTTAGTAATGTAGTTCTAATTCTACTAAAGATGAAATTGGCCATTACTATAAAAGAAATAACTTTGAGAATTAGGATCTCATTAAGAATTTCTAAAACTTGTAGCACAAAATGTTAACCTACACATGTACTTTGAACTAACTTAAACATATTGTCAATGTATTGTGTTCAGAATATCTAAACATTTCAAACCACTCTGGGAACTCAGAGAGAAGCCATTAATTTTGTTTTCATTTACCTGTTATCTCAAATGTCTACTTGTTTTCTATGAAGGTTAGTAGACTGAGTTCTTCAGATGCTAGCAGCTGTTTTCCACTTAGACTTTAATTTTTAGTTTACATCATGTTTTAATTATTAAATATCTATTAAATGGTTCAATAAAAAAGGTACAAATGTTTAAACGATGTATGCTGAACCTGGGTTGGTTGTTTTAGTTGACTTATGATTGATAGAAAAGTGTAATTTCTTTAAAGTACATTTTGTTAACTATATGAATGAAAAGCACCCATGTTGTTTTAACAATTGTTGTTTTCAATGGGAATATATGAACACAGAAGTAATAAATCAGGGAAATAGGGAACATCAATTGTCTAAGTGAAGGCAATCACTCTTACAGAAAATACTCTGCTTTAGAAGGCGCATAAAATTATTTCTAAAGCTATTCAAAATTTACTGTGAAGTCTGCTCATCTGCAGTGAAAATATTTCAATTGTTTGTAAGTATTTCAATTGTCTAGTCCTGGTATAAACATTAAAAAATATGCCAGGTATAGTATTTATCTGGATATACAGTCCATGGAAAGCTCATTTTGTTATCATTTTTACAGAAATCAATGTCTTGCACTTGGAAAATTGTTTTTAATAAAAATGCAATCTATTTTTGTAAATATATTTCCTCTTGTCACAATTAGTTAGAAAAATAGTTCTTAAATGCCACCATTTTATCCACAAAATAACCTCTATTCCAGTTTCCATATCCAACTAAGAAAAATAATTTTAATCCACGCTCAATAACCTAACACTAAAAATTACAAGAGAGAATGAATTTGAAATGTATGTTTATGTAAACTTACCTTAAATAACTGATTCACAGCACCTGATGATATAGCAAACTTCACAACATCTGGTAGCTCAGCTTCCACTGTAACATCAAAGCCAGGGAGTGGAATATTTTGATTGGAAAGAATATCGAAAGGAGAGGGATCCTTGATGCCAATCGGATTCTGGACCCTAGAAAAACCTCTTAAAAAGCCAGATTCTTTGGCATCAAGGGCATCCACTGACCCAGTGGCATACTTAGAAGTATCAGAGTACTTGTATCCAGTGGAGTGTTGGAACTGAGCACCAATATTTTGGTTATCAAAAATTATATAAGCTCTACAAAGTTCAAGTGGATCATGAAATTCAGAGGTTATCAAAACATCAGAATAAGAAGTATGGTCTGTGTCAGCAATAAAATTTGAGTTAGTTCCATAAACAATTTTAAAAATAGATGATATGGAACTGGTTTTTAATTCAGTATCCGAGACAGTGTTAATATTGTTGGTACTAGGAGAATTATGAGCATTCTGAATATTTTTGACGATAATGTTAAAACAATTAAAATGACTAAATCTAGGGAAATGTTTATTTTCAGGAGCATAGTTTTTTCCAGCAGTAAACTGAGAGTTAATAGCATTAGTACAGCTGGTGATGTTGCTAGTATCATTGGCATTGATAACGCTAAGTGTAAACCTGGGTCTAGTAGCATATTTCTTTCTGACAAAATAGTTTGGGTTGATTAGAAAACTTGACCTTACTTTGTATGTAAACCCTGTGACACCAGTAAGGTCTGAATAATATTTTAGGGCAGTTGTATGTTTGTGAATGGCAGTGCTAGTAGATTCTGTGCCATAAGTAGGGTCAAAAATACGGTTAGGATTCACAACATTGTGACCAGTAGCATCACTGAAGTTGGTAGTATAGTTAAACTCAAGATCTTGTAGGAGTCCATGGCTGTTTGAGGGGCTGGAATTGTTGTTGGCATCAGTTTTATTTTTGGTGTAGTCAAGACTATTGGAATTTGGAATAATATTCTCAGAACAAATATTGTTTCCTTGTCCAGTGTCATTTCTAGGGACGACAACATCATTTTTGGAAAGAGAAATATAGTCCAGCATGGTTCTATTTTTGTTTCCAGAGGCAGAGTTTGGATTTGTGCTACCCTTGGTGTCAACATTATTTTGCTGATTGAAATCTTCTGCCAGATCAGAAGCACTGTCTAAATCAGTGCTATATTTCAAGTTAACATCACTGTTGGAGGCATTATCAATGGCAGGGTAAGATTCATTGTTGTGATCAGTTACATTTTTAGAGTCACCATCATTGCTGGAATCAGGTCCATTTGTAGGCCCAGAAGCACCACTAGGGTCAGACCCAGTATTGCTATCAGTATTATTTTCAGAGTTCCCATCTTTAGGATCACTGCCATCAGGGTCAGATTTGTCTTTGGGATCTTTCTTATCTTTGTTGTTGTCTTCATCTTCAGTGTCTGTTTCATCTTCAGCATCTGCTTCATCTTCAGTATTTGTCTCATATTCTTGGTCTGTCTCATCCTTGGAAAGAAGTTCCTCTTCAACATCAGTCTCATCTTTGATATTTCTAGCACTGATAATTTTAATAAGGCTTTCATCTGGATTATCTTTATTTTGAGGTTGGGCAATAAGGTTGAACTTGCTTTCACTTTCAGACAATCTTACTGGTGTTGACATTTTGTGGCTATACGTACTATATTGGCCCATTATTTTTTCAGATTTTATAGGCAGGGTGTTAGTACCAGAACTCTTAAGATTTCGGAGAGCTGAACAACTTTCACAATGTAAATAAGAGGTGGAATCCACAGAATGTCTGAAATATTCCCTGTGCAGAGAGCAGCGGATGCCCACACGATGCTTAGGATCCAGGGATCGAGATAAAGGGCTATGTCGAGCAGTCTTGAAGTGTTTAACAGTTTTAGCTCTCAGAGAATATTTAGAATCGGAGGAAATCTGGCTATGTAAAGGAGAGTCGGAGTCAGAATCATCAGAATTCGTGGGGCATTTATGAAAAGAAGAGTTACTAATTTCCATAAAACATCTGGCACATTTTTTAGTTTCCACATCCAAAGAAAATGTAATACTTCTTCGTGTCTTCTGTCTTGTGGCAGACTTAAGACTCTTAGAATTTGGGCTGCCAACACGTGATGATACATTAGAGGTGGAAGACTCAGAACTTGGAGGAATAGGAGTAATTTGATACCTAAAATTCTCATAACCATGGGCATATCTATACTCCCTGCAATGGCGCTTATAGACAGATATTTTCTGGCTGGCTTTTCTGTGATACTTTTCATCTGTGAATGTGTGAGAGTCTGGAGAAAAGCTATAGCTGAGCTTTTCCTTTATTTTTTCCTGTGAGAGTTGTTTGTCACTGAGACTTGAAGATGCCTCTTTGAGTCTCACAGTTTTGTCTTCACTCTTGTAGCTTGTTAACTGAGTTCTGCAAACTAAGAGACAAGAATAGAATATGATCAAGAACAGGCAAATATATAATGAATATAACTTTAATGTTCACATTACAATAAAATATGTGCAAACAAAGTATAATTTCCTTCAAAGTATTTTTGTGAGTTTTATTTGATTTTTCAAGGGGAGGCCATGACCCTAAATTTTCTGTTCAATTAAATGTCATTTTCAGCTTTTTAAAACATAAATGAAACATGGTCATTTACTTGAGATAGTCATTTTCTTCAAGTTGACAGAGCTTACTCTTAAGGAAAGAAATCATTATATAAGAATTCAGAAAGCACTGTAACAAATATAAAAATACAGCTTTAAAAATTTGTTATGATAAATCAATCTACATTGTTTCACTGCATTTCTAGGAATATTAAGATCTTCATTTGTTTCTGGCTATACCATTTATAGTGTTTAAAACCTCCATGTTTAGAGAGAAAAACATCCTGGTGTTTGATGTATATTCTGGTATGAAAGTTAATAGCAAAGATATCTTCTGTAGCTATCAAAAACTCAATGTTGTATCATGCTGGATGTATAGATATTTACTGATATCTTAGCTTTAAAATTGAACCAAAATTATTGAATTTCATTACAGATAATCTTGTCATCAAGGTACATAGGCAGGTACATGACTGAATTTTAAAGACAAATATAAATATATTTTTGACATTCCCACCAGGTTTCAAAACACACACACACACACACACACACACACACACACACACACACACACACACACACACACTTCAAGACTGGGTTTCTCTATGTAGTTTTGAAGCCTATTCTGGAATTTGCTCTGTAGACCAGGCTGAGATTGAACTCACAGAGATCTCTCTGCCTCTTCATCCTTGGTGCTAGGATTAAAGGCATGTGCCATCACCACCCAGCCTTCAAGTATATTTTTATGCCTAAACATGAGATCATATTTTGGAAACAGTTTATGAATATTGAATGGTAATGTCCATTTAGAAATTGGCAATAAATTCTTACAAAGACATAAGCTTTCTCATCAAATTTCCCTTATCACAAGAGTCTATAAGAAATGGTTATAAAAGTTTTACTCTTTTTTGGTATTTATAAAAGTTGCCCCATCAAGAAGGTACACTATGAAAGATATTCACTAGGATAAGGTATGTATGATTTATATATAATAAAATATTTATTTCTGGACTTCCAAGATTTTATTTTTCATATCATAAAATCTTTGTAATATTTTTATTGTTGTTTGGTTACTCTTCACTAATTGTTTTCTTTATATAATTTTTGGTATTTTTATTATTTACAAATTATTAGTAATCAACTAAATGTATCACTATTTCAAAACCATTTGCTAGCTAGCCATCAAGTAGAATTTAGATACAGAGATGAATATGTACAAATTCTTCCCGTATTTAAGAATATGATGGATATACTATGGATATAAGCACTACTATGTTAACACACAAATCTATCACTGAGCAAGGAATTTCAAGAATTATTTTACAAAAACTAAGTATTAAAAAAACTTATTTTGTGTGTAAATGTAGCATGCATGTGTGTACTCATCCACACATGTTTATCAACACATGTTTATTTGTATGTATGGGTCATGTGTTACACAATGCTTGAAACAGTGTCTCTCTTATTTACTGCTGCATGTGTCAGTGAAGCTTGTATTCAAGTGTACAGTGACTTTTCTTTCTCTGGCTCTCACCTTTTTTGGGTGTAGTGGGATTAAAGATAAACATTCCCCTTGTCAGTATTCTTTTGGTTGTAGTGGGATTAAAGATAATCACTGCCCTTTTCAGCTTTTACTTAGGTTTTGGGGACCTGAAATCAGTTGTCAGGCCTCAGAAATCTCTGGGGCTTTGGGTAGTAGACTAGTGTTCACCATGGCATACAATGAACTTTGGGAGCCCATTCTACATGGAGGGATGCTCTCTCAGGCCAGACACATGGGGAAGGGCCTAGGCCCTTCCCTGGATGAAATGACAGACTCTGGAGACTCCCCCAAAGAAGGCCTTACCATTCCTGGGAACTTATGTGAGGTTTGGGCTGGGGGTGGGGGATGGGGGGCTCCTGGAGGGAGAAATGGGGAGCCAGGATAGACATTTGAAGCATGAATGTTTCTAATTTAAATATTAAATATACATATAAAAAAGAAACTTCGGCACTTGAAAAAAAACTACTGTACATATATGGAGCTTGAACAGAAGTACCACATGGGTGAAAAATACTGCTTCTCAAATAATATATTGGGCTTAATGAAAAACAATTTTGTAATGAGGACATGTAGTTAGTAGGGAGATGTGTTAGAGTAATTGAATGGGGAGATGGGTATGATCAAGATACATTATATACATGTATGATATTTTCAAAAAAAAGAAGTAGGAAAATGTAACTGCAATGCTTAGGAAAAAATGAGTGCACTTTAAAAGGAACATTTCTGTTTTTTACTATAACTATCTGGACTGGTGAAACACACTGGGAGAAGTGGCTTAGGCTTGATGGTAGCAAGAGGGAGTACTTGTCAAGAAGAAGGGATTTCACAAAACACCAAGCTTGTCACACCACCACGAAGGACAGACCAGAGTCAAGGAAATATTAAGTCAATTATGGGTATGGACCTTGACCAGGACTTAGTTATGCATACCTCTTACCTTGTATTTACAACTTAACCCTTATGTCAAGATGCCAAATATGGACTTGGTAGTTGTTTCACTGCATTTTTTGTCACATTGACTAAATCTCCTTTGTCTGTTCTTCACTATTATTTAGATTCTTTTAATAAGTATTGATGACAGGTGGCTGAACCTAGATTGTTAGGGCTTCCAGGGGCACAGGCTCTCATCATAACTATGGCAACAATACTAAGATGGACTCTTTGGGAGGTTGTTAGATTAGATAAAAACATTCAAGTGAAAACTGCTGGTTTGAATCCTAGTCGATTCATAAGATAAGTAAAAGAAATCAAAGAATACACAGGAGATTACGTCTTTCATGTTTCTTGTTATTTGTTTCCCTGTATTTCCTTAGGACTCTGCTAAATAGAATGCCATCACATACTTGCTTCACATACTGCATTATAGTACCATAAATAAATTAATACATCAAATCATATCTTAATTGTTATCATTAAAGCAGCTGCCTGTCCACTTGTTTTATTTTCAGAATTTCTATGAAGTTGTAATGTTAATTCTGCAAATTCTAAATTAACTGCTACTACAGTTAAAATATAGTCAATTTGGATGATAAAATGATACGAATATATTAAATAATACTTATTTATAGTGCTAAAATGATAATCCAGGTCAGAAAAAGAATAAAAGAAATAGGACACAATTCCATTGGTTTTCTTACTGAGGAATAATTTGAAATATAAATGGATTGAATATACACACTTGAGTGAGTGATTAGAACCAATCATTTTTGCTTCTATTATTTTAATCTATAAATATATTTCAAGAAGGAAAGAAAATGTGCAGGCAATTTCTAGATGTAGATAAAATTGAAGTGTTTTAACTTTTTTCAAATAAACACTTGTTATATCAGATGTCTACTCATAACTTCTGATGATTTTACCACTCTGTAAATATTTTTGGGTAAGTCCATTTGAACTCTAAAAAACGAAGATAAAAATGATTTAATGGGTTTTTGTCACTGCGACTTAGAAATAATCTGACTCTGCTTTCTTGGCTTTGCTTTTCTAAAAGAAAGCTACTGACTTATTTTGTTTTGGCTTTTTATTATTGATTTCATATGACCTTATAGCCTACACCTGAATCTAATAGACCTGCTATCTCGGACCTAACAGTAAGCTGTATCAAACAGCAATCACTCTTTTCAATAAAAAAGAATTCAGATTGTATTGTTTTGGATTTTTATTATTGATTTCATATGACCTTATAGCCTACACCTGAATCTAATAGACCTGCTATCTCAGACCTAACAGTAAGCTGTATCAAACAGCAATCACTCTTTTCAATAAAAAAGAATTCAGATTGTATTTCAGAATTTACACACTCCTGTTTCACAGACTCTCTGTCAGCCAGTGGAAGTGCAGACTGGCTCTATCCTGATCCATGCCTAAAATCCATATATAAGTGAGTACACACCATGTTTGTCTTTTTGTGACTGGATCCTAAGAGATATGCATGCTACCCAAGAGAAGAGGAATGAGGCAAGATCCTCTGAACAGATGGGGAACATGGCGAGGGGTGGGGGGGGGAGTGGGAGCTGGGAAGAAGAGAGGGGGAGAAGAGGAAGAGAGAGTAAGTCATGGGGGAACAGGAAGGTTGAGTGGGGGGGGAGTAGAATAGGGGGAAGAGGGAATCATAGGTTAGAAGACAGATCAGGCACCATTGTGACCTCTAGTGATCTAAAGGGATGACACCAATTGGCAAGCTAAGCAATAGTGGAGAGACCACCTCGAATGCCCATTCCTGATAATGAACTTGATGTCTATAACCATCCTGGAGCCTTCATCCAATGACTGATGGAAGCAGAGGCAAACACCCAGTTAAACACTGAACTGAACCCAAGGAACCCAGTGACAGAAAGAGGAGCGATGAGCAAATTGGCAAAGAATGGGCTGGCAAAAACAGCATAGACAGCTGATCTGAACAGGGGAGAGCTCTTGGACCCTAGACTGACAGCTGGGAGGCCAGCATGGGACTGATCCAGACCCTCTGAATGTGAGAGTCAGTGAGGAAGCCTGGGCATCCCATGGGGCCCTGAGCAGTGGATCAGTGTTTATCCCTGGAATACAAACAGACATTGTATGTCCATAACACAAAGAGGGATGCTCTCTCAGCCTGGACTATTAGGGGAGTGCCTGGACCCTATCCTGAGTGAAATGACAGACTCTAGATATCCCCTATGTGGAAGGAATTGGCAATAGGGTGGGAGGCTGGGGGAGAGATGGTGGGGGGGGTGCGGGAGGAGGGGAGGGAGAGGGAACTGGGATTGACATGTAAAACAAGCTATTTAAAATTAAAATAAAATGCAA